CATCCAGACAACACAACCAATTACCACAATAAACATCGAGGCAACACAACTAATTACCACAATTAACAGCAAGACAACACAACTAATAACCAGGATTGACATCCAGACAACACAACTAATAACCACGATAAACATCCAAACAACATAACTAATTACCACAATAAACACCCAGACAACATATCCAATTACCACGATATACATCTAGACAACACAACCAAATACCACGATATACATCCAGTCAACACAACCAATAAACACGATAAACATCCAGACAACTTAACTAATTACCACGAAAAAAAATCCAGACAACACAACCAAACACCACGATATACATCCAGACAACACTACTAATTACCACGATAAACATCCAGACAACATAACCAATAACCACAATAAACATACACACAACACAACCAATTATCACGATAAACACCCAGACAACTTAACTAATTAGCACGATAAATATCCAGACAACATAACCAATAACCACAATAAACATACACACAACACAACCAATTATCACGATAAACACCCAGACAACTTAACAAATTACCACAATAAACATCCAGAAAACTTAACTAATTAGCACGATAAACATACAGACAACATAACCAATAACCACAATAAACATACAGACAACACAACCAATTACCACGATAAACATCCAGACAACATAACTTATTATAACAATAAATACCCAGACATTATAACCAATTACCACGATAACCTTCGAGACAACACAACCAATAAACACGATAAACATCCAGACAACACAACCAATTACCACGATAACCTTCGAGACAACACAACCAATTACCACGATAAACACCCAGACAACTTAACTAATTACCACAATAAACATCCAGAAAACTTAACTAATTAGCACGATAAACATCGAGACAACACAACAAATAACCAGGATTGACATCCGGACAACACAACTTATAACCACGATAAACATCCAAACAACATAACTAATTACCACAATAAACACCCAGACAACACAACCAATAACCACGATAACCCTCGAAACAACACATCTAATTACCACAATTAACACAAAGACAACCCAACCAATTACTAGAATAAACATAAGGCAACACAACCAATTACCACGATAAACATCCAGACAACACAACCAATAACCACGATAACCCTCGAAACAACACATCTAATTACCACAATTAACACAAAGACAACCCAACCAATTACTAGAATAAACATAAGGCAACACAACCAATTACCGCGATAAACATCCAGACAACACAACCAATTACCACGATAAACACCCAAACAATTTAACTAATTACCACAATAAACATCCAGACAACTTAACTAATTACCACAATAAACATCCAGACAACACACCCAATTACCACGATAAGCACACCGACAACACAACCAATTACCACTATAAACACCCAGACAACTTAACTAATAACCACAATAAACATCCAGACAACTTAACTAATTACCACGATAAACATCCAGACAACACAACTAATTACCACGATAAACATCCAGATAACACTACTAATTACCACAATAAACATCCAGAAAACACAACCAATTACCACGATAAGCAGAGACAACACAACCAATTACCACGATAAACATCCAGACAACTTAACCGATTACCACAATAAACATCCAGACAACTTAACTAATTACCACAATAAACATCCAGACAACACAACCAATTACCACGATAAGCACACAGACAACACAACCAATTACCACGATAAACACCCAGACAACTTAACTAATTACCACAATGAACATCCAGACAACTAAACTAATTACCACGATAAACATCCAGACAACACAACCAAGTACCACGATAAACATCCCGACAACACTACTTATCACCACAATAAACATCCAGACAACACAACCAATAACCACGATAAGCACACAGACAACACAACCAATTACCACGATAACCTTCGAGACAACACAACCAATTACCACGATAAACACCCAAACAACTTAACTAATTACTACAATAAACATCCACACAACTTAACTAATTACCACAATAAACATCCAGACAACACAACCAATTACCACGATAAGCACACAGACAACACAACCAATTACCACGATAAACACCCAGACAACATAACTAATTACCACAATAAACATCCAGACAACTTAACTAATTACCACGATAAACATCCAGACAACATAACTAATTACCACGATAAACATCCAGACAACATAACTAATTACCACGATAAACATCCTGACAACATAACAACACAGCCAGTTACAAAGACAAATAATCTAAAAAAAAAACGACATCAACAAAGTGATACAAAATACCTCAATAATGTTTGTTTCACCCCTTTGTTTATATTAGCTAGATACCGGTTTATCAACAATTGTGTAAGATCTATTCAAGGTCTTCATATTGTACAAAAAAATCTATATCATTGGCTGTAGATAAGAATTCGTACACGCTCTAATTACCCGACATTTCTGCTTTACACAGACTGCATATTGCTTACTCCAAGTTAATTACACTGTAGCAATAGGAGAGACGTCTTCTCAACGTTGTAATGATGTGTTACAGGGCATAACAAGTAAAATGATCTTAGAAGTTTGTTTATGGGTTTTCATTAAGTGGACTGGTGCTCCAACCGTGACCGAGGAAAAACATCTTAAATATAATAAATTATGACATGTTTATAGTTATATCTATAATGTAGAGTATGTATACGTCGTGACGTCAAAAATTATGAAAATATTCTAAATATTCCTCTTTGTATCTGACATGCGTTGGCAAACCCCGACGAGACGTAAAGTATGTATACATGATAAAAGGCATTACTATATAAACATCAGGTACTGGCAGGGTTCGAACCCCTCCCCCCCNCCAACCCCACCCCCACCCCCAGCTACGACCGTGGTTAGAGATCAACCACGCCACCATTCGATGCAAAGTCATTGGTCATTTAAAGTGACAACATTTGAAACTGATTTACGGTGGTTTCTTTCATTTTTTTCCTCTTTTTTATTTTTTAAATAGATAGAAATACAGGCCATTATTTGAAAATTGAGATTTGTTTGCTACGATCATTCAATATGTTCAAAATGCATTATGTATTATGACATATTTGAATTCACTCTTTGACAGTTTTGTTTGTGATTAAAAACAGCATAAACATCGTGTCTAAAACCCCTTAAACACGTACCATAAACATCGTGTCTAAAACCTCTTAAACACGTACCATAAACATCGTGTCTAAAACCCCTTAAACACGTACCATAAACATCGTGTCTAAAACCCCTTAAACACGTACCATAAACATCGTGTCTAAAACCCCTTAAACACGTACCATAAACATCGTGTCTAAAACCCCTTAAACACGTACCATAAACATCGTGTCTAAAACCCCTTAAACACGTACCATAAACATCGTGTCTAAAACCCCTTAAACACGTACCATAAACATCGTGTCTAAAACCCCTTAAACACGTACCATAAACATCGTGTCTAAAACCCCTTAAACACGTACCATAAACATCGTGTCTAAAACCCCTTAAACACGTACCATAAACATCGTGTCTAAAACCCCTTAAACACGTACCATAAACATCGTGTCTAAAACCCCTTAAACACGTACCATAAACATCGTGTCTAAAACCCCTTAAACACGTACCATAAACATCGTGTCTAAAACCCCTTAAACACGTACCATAAACATCGTGTCTAAAACCCCTTAAACACGTACCATAAACATCGTGTCTAAAACCCCTTAAACACGTACCATAAACATCGTGTCTAAAACCCCTTAAACACGTACCATAAACATCGTGTCTAAAACCCCTTAAACACGTACCATAAACATCGTGTCTAAAACCCCTTAAACACGTACCATAAACATCGGGTCTAAAACCCCTTAAACACGTACCATAAACATCAATGATTGGACCTCTGACGTAACTATCATAAATTGATATGACTCTGATATGTCAATGACTAACAGATTAAGATTTGACCCTAAATCATTGATAATAGACAGCCACCACTACAATTTTGACCACGAAGAACCAAATGTTGAGACAGCTATGAAGTCCGTCAAAGGGAGATAACAAAAGATCAAACATGTCAGGTAGAAAAGCAACAAATATAGGTGACCTATATATAGGTCATTATGAAGAGGTTGTCTTTATAAACAGAAGGCCTTTATAGACAGATGACCTTTATAAACAGGTGGACTGAACATTTTGTAGAATTAACTTTGGTTCAGCCATCGTACACGTGAAAACCAGTATACAATAGACTCGACACATGAGCGATGACGGTAGACTAAATAAAACCAGATTTTATGTAATGATCCTATACATATTTAAAACGATCTCTGATGCAAACATCGTACAAACAAATATACTGATGATGCGCAAAAATCTTCCAAAATGATTTATATTACGTGATAAAATGTCGGACTATTTATTTCAAGAGATTGATCCCAGTGACAGGAAACAGTAGATAAAGACACAGATATGTTTTGTGTTGAAGTAGAGGAGTGGTCATACACGTCTCGGTCTGTCATCATTCACACAAATTCAATAACTATCCATGTTTATGGCCCTTGTATCAAGCAACGCAATTTGTAAATATTTCAAATTCCTTGAGCTACTTCACAGTTTGATTGATTTATATGTTTAGGACATTTACATAAGTCAAATGGCTAACGTGGTATGGACAGTGACCAGTAAAGCACAAAACTTCATCCGAGATCTCTTTGTTGACACTCATTCACATTATGTTAAAAAAACCTATTTGGTCACGTAGAGAAGACTAGATATGTGTGCTAACATGAAATATGAATGTATACTGCAGGAGGCAAGAAACAATAACAATTGGCAATGTATTGATTGCAGATTTTAAAATAATGAACATTTGTAAAGAAAATCCTACAGTAAAATTTTGGATGGGGAAGTCAATTTCTCTTTACATATAATAACGTTAAAACAAAAAATATAAACTCAGATTACGAAAGAAAATGGTTTACATGTCAAAAACATTTTAAATTTTATTTATTAGTTCACATCAAGCTACAATTTGAATATGATAAATACAAGAACTTCAATGCTAATTTCACTGAATAGAGATAGGACTCATAAGTAAAAAACATTAAGATCACAGTACCGTTTCACAACACACACGAACATTTTAAATGTATCCGTTGATTTTCATGTTTAATAACGTAATATGGCCGCAATCTCTATTTACATTGGTTAGGTCTACACGTAAGCTTACGTGTGGTTTACGCCAGGTATCAATTGGTGTTAAATACAGATGATCTGGTCATAATTTACGGGCCCCAATAACTTTCCTGTGCGTCGGGAAACGGTAAAAAAATCGTACGTTTATATATACGATTTACAGGTAAGTACCCATAAATTTACGGGCGTGTCCTGAAATGGTACACAGATATGTTACTCTGATAATCCAGTAGACATGTGTGTTATCTTGTGCTTCTCATGGCCTACCGCGAACGTTGTCATGTTTCGACGTACTTCTTACCTGCTTTTATAAGTTGTAGATTCATTTGTTACAGATATATAGGTTTCTTAGGACTTTTGAAAATCTTATCATGCATAGGTGTTAGTCAATCAAAAATGGTGATTTCTATAAATAAGCTTTATGAAACATCTGCAGTGTGGTCGGATTACTCCAAGCATATTAGAAGCTATTGAGTAATATTATAGGTTTTAGGGGTTTATATCGGTAAAATTGCTATGTATATAACGTCCCTTGGATGGCATTTTACGGAGAGTTGGGCTTAACCCCTAAAACATCTAATATCATTCTGGACACACCATTTAAGTTTAAACATAGCAATACTGTAACCCATTATCAGGTCCCTGTGATTCCTGTATCCCCGAAGATTTTATTAAATCAGCCAATGCTGTTCCTACTGTATGATCTGGGTCAGGAATGCTTGATATTTAAATCCAGTGCCCTTTTATGAGCAGGCCCTCCCCACGTCCTATTAAATATAGCGCGCTCCCTTTCCAGTGAAGACATATAGTCTAATTCACAGGCTCCTAATACCGCGGTCTTCATGTCCCTCACAAGCTGACGGTCAGCACGACAATACTGGCTTAGCCAGGCACGACCGATCTTCATGACGTCATCGTGGTCCTCTACACTTTCCTTTTTGGGTGTCTGTATAGGAATGATATGATCAGCTAAACCTTGCCTCAAACACTCCTGGGAAGAGAGCAGTCTCGATGAGCACAACATATCTAGGGAGTGTGAGCGACCTACCAGTCTCACAAGCCTTGTCGCCCCTCCCCATCCGGTTAACACACCCATCTTCATATGTACAAACCCGATACGCGCCGTATTGGTCATCACACGGAAGTCACATGCTGTTGTCAGTTCTGCCCCGCCTCCTATGGCGTTACCTTGAACCAATGCCATACTGATTAACGGTAGGCAATGAAGTCGTGTCAATGTTTCATGCATGAAGTCCGCCATCTGGTAGCCCTGTTCTGGTGTGAGGATGTTCTGGACAGTGGTCAAATCACCTCCAGAACAAAAGGTTCCCTGTGAACCCGTCAATATCACACCCTTCCCGTCATCCCATGCTTCCAAATCTTCAACCACATTGCGGAAATCAAGCATCATTTTTCCTGAAAAGGTCCATAATATTTCATCATTAAATGTGTAACAGACACACAACGAAAAAGTATTCAATTAAAAAACGATGTTCTAAATCCGTTTTCCAAACTTATAGAATGCATTTAATTATAGGCTAAAAAGGATTTTTTAATATCTATAAATCATAAAATGGAAAAAATATATTGATTCTATCAAAAAGACTTTTCGTAGTAAGTTGCTGCATCATGCTGAACAATTGATGGTTCTAAAAGAATAATCGTTAGTTCACGAAAATTTACGGGGGTTACCTGATACAGCATTTTTCTTATTCGGGTTGTTTAAGGTGATGACGGCAATTCCATCAGTTTCGTCTTTGGTGAGATCCACGCTGCCTTCACCATAGCTCTGAAGTCTCTCTCGGAACGAGATCTCGTGACTCGATGACGTACAGTACGGCCTACATCTAAGTAAACTTCTTAAAGGTTTTCTTTTCACTGAAATTAAAAGTATACAGAGGTCTCAAAACGTCTGACTGTTGTTTATCATGCTTATCTAACTATTTCTACTTCATACATTCTGTAATGTCAATTTCAATCGGTTAATTTTGTGAGTTCGATAAGCTAACCATTTTTTAAAATTAAATATACATTTTATTGTATATATCGCGGATGAATGTCGCCTGAGGATGAGGACGAGGTGAACAAGACAAAAAAAGAGCCACCTAGTTGGCCAGCGTTCGACCACATGGGTTTTCTCCTGGTTCAGCATTAGGAAAGAAACTATAGTTTCTCTAATTCTAATACAAAATCATGTCGGTAAAAATACAATATAAGTCAAATAATAAATCTAACAACATGTACACAGAAATAATGTGCTCCTTAAAAAATAAATAACCCGTTAGGTATCGTTATTATTACAGATTACAAACCTCGAGTCCTTCGATATCCCTTAGGTATCGTTATTATTACAGATTACAAACCTAGAGTCTTTCGATACCCGTTAGGTACTAAAGCAAACCATGGTTAAACACCTTACAACAGACAAACAGCTTTTAAAGCTATACACTAATATTGACCGCCACCGTTCAACCTAGTAAATTTTAACCCGTAAATGTTTCTTCCAGAAACAATGAATTTAACAAAGACTATATTATAATGCTAAACAAAATTTGAAAGGAAGATCAACACGAAATTACACCTATTTTTGTTCTGCCTTACAAAAGAGTAAGCTGTACATTGTAAGTAAATTTATGAATTGAAGTGAAAACGTTTAACAGAGTAAAAAGTCTGACTTACCTTGTCGCGTTCTCAGGATTTTCTCAGCTGTATAAATGCTGCACCTTGATGAAATCAGTCTGAGAGTCTGAAAGTACAGAAATACAGCAGTCAGTTCGCAGTGGATGACTTCTGTCAAGGTTTTATATACATGGGTGTTATATACAAGGTGTTATATACATGGTGGTATATACATGGTGTTATATACAAGGTGTTATATATATGGTGGTATATACAAGGTGTTATATACAAGGTGTTATATACAAGGTGTTATATACATGGTGTTATATACAAGGTGTTATATACATGGTGTTATATACAAGGTGTTATATACATGGTGTTATATACAAGGTGTTATATACATGGTGTTATATACAAGGTGTTATATACATGGTGTTATATACAAGGTGTTATATACATGGTGTTATATACAAGGTGTTATATACATGGTGTTATATACAAGGTGTTATATACATGGTGTTATATACAAGGTGTTATATACATGGTGTTATATATATGGTGTTATATACAAGGTGTTATATACATGGTGTTACATACAACGTGTTATATACAAGGTGTTATATACATGGTGCTATATATATGGTGTATACATGGTATTACATACAACGTGTTATATACACGGTGTTAAATAAAAGGTGTTATATATATGGTGTTATATACAAGATGTTATATACAATGTGTTATATATATGGCGTTATATACATGGTGTTATATCCAAGGTGTTATATACAATGTGTTATATATATGGCGTTATATACATGGTGTTATATACAAGGTGGTATATACATGGTGTTATATATATGGTCTTATATACATGGTGTTATATACAAGGTGTTATATACAATGTGTTATATATATGGTAATATAGAGCAAACTGTGGTAGTACAGGTATGAGATTCACGAGGAATTGGTTTACACGTTCTGAAGGTTGTATATGACGTTGTCGTTCCTTTTTGTTCATGAATGTCAAGAGAAATTGGTCAGTTCTAGCTGCGGGAACCGGAGCTTCTAGGCCCGATCGTTTTTTTTTTTATTTTTTATTTTTTTATATTGAATATCGGACCATTTCAAAAAATTAAAACGGTTCCCACAGCTAGGTCAGTTCCTGTGCTGCTACTGTGAGTAAGGGGATTTTTTTTAACTTGATAACAATAAACCATTGCACGAACGTTCATAACATAAGTCCCTGCAGGTAGGGCGTAAGAATTGTACCTGCTACCCCCATTGCATGATCGTAGGAGGCGACTAAATTTGGGATCTTATCTTTTCTCTTCTTTCCAAACAACTTTCTTCTTCCTAATGTCTCCCTTGACAATGCCTTACTTTTGGCCTTTAGTTGAGCGTTCACCCCTGTGAGGAAGGCTTTGGGTTCTGTCCCCTGGCCGAGACATACCAATACAAGGTCTGTAAAAATGGTACTGTCTACTCCTGCTTAACGCTCAGCAATTTGGTAGTGGGACGACTGGTTCGCCCGTTGTCAGTATAATGTGACCGGGTGGGGTGTCCTGCTGTGTGTCTTCGGCAGTATGTTTCAGTGAGGTAGCACTATAAAGTCGGCATCAGTTCCGCGCTATCACAAGGAGACAAACACGAACATATCGCAGCCTCCCAAAACACATGCATACACTTCACGCATGCATCTTGCACACAGATGAGGCCGTCCTTAAATGGCCATAGCTGTTTATAGGACGTTAAACAATACTAAACCAAACCAATCATAACATAAGGAGTTAAAGGTTAGAAGCTTAGAGTTAAATGTTTCTAGCTCGAAATTTGGTTATAGTCATACTCAAAACTTTCGAATAAATCCTTCCTATATCAATGAATGCCAACAAAATATTAAAATCAAAAGGAATTATTCTGGAAATCTTATAAGTACCATACGGAACAAACGCATCATCGAATGTGAATCTTTCAAACAGACTATTGTCTAAAACGTCAAACTCTACCATCCCTGACATCCCGATCAAATAAATAAGACAAATTTTACAGCAATTTATAATGTCAGGACAGGCTTGAAATTTCACAGAAGCTGGTAGTGGTCGAATTATCTATAACAAATTGGCCCCTCGATTTTGGAAAATGTTTGGATGTGGTATGGATGAAGTTTTAACAGCGAGATGAATTTCATAGACTTTAGCCTTATACATGTACCTGTACTACCACAGCAAAATAGCTGGCTTGCTGTGTAAACCCTTACATTAATACAGTTTAAAGAAAAAAGCTAAACAAGCGGTTTTTAAACCGATGGCCAATGCAAATCCCCAAAACGGTAACCAAAATCAGTTGTTTGTTACATGTTACTGCCTACCTAACAGCAGTGGGGTGATCGATATAGACAGTTAGATGGGTTTGTGTATAGTCAGAGTAGCCACTTTTAACACTATAAATCCTGCATAATTATATCAAGCTTAAATTTTCATTTTTATAATTGATATCACGAGACGATAATTCCAAACATTCATTATTGTTTTCATAAAACATTTCACAATGACAGCTGGTTTACAATAGCCCGACCACATTTGCCTTTAATAAACGGAACACATTCGACAGTGGTGATTTTTGACAATACTTTTCATAAGTTGTAGGCCTATCATATTTTTGGCTAGATATGAATTTATTTATTCATTCATCATAAAATAATATTTGAATGTAAACATTTTATTGCAACAAGATCTGTCTGCATTTTGAACACCAAAAGATATTTCGATCTTTTTGTGATAATACACATGTATACTACCATAGCTTAACAATCGTATCGTTTTCTAATAGAGTCGTCTCCCTTCCCATGTCATTCCACAAAATATTGAATCCGAGTTTACACCACTTGTACGTCTTTGGGAAATTATTTACAAAGTACCAGAAGTAAATATACCCGTCTGTCCTTTTGTCCACCATTCACAGTCCGATATACGATTTAACTTACCATAGTTCAACTAGGGCTTGTCGACCGCTCAAAACACCGTACACATCACTGGGTCGGTGTTTATAGAAGGGGAGATCACTCCAAACAACTACGGTAAGGAAGCGTGTGACAGTGCATATTTCAACTCCCTCCTCACTGAGAATTGTTTCTAAAACATTTGAGTAAAACATCGTGCTAACGTTATACAACCACAAGTACTAGCCTCGTTTTGATTATATTATAGGTGTATTAACAGACGAGGCTAAGCCTAGTAGTACCTGTGATAAAACCATATTGACGTTCCCCTTTCAAAACTTTAAAACAATTAACATTGTTGCCGATTATCCAGTTTGCCGATTATCCAGTAAATAGAACCACAATTACCAGAGCATTTGTTACAGCTATATTTGGACCTAAACTAATTAGTGTTCAGAGTAAGTTTATATGATTAGGGGTTTAGATCTACTTTCGGTAAAAATGACACCCTAATGATCATATACATACTTCAGAATACGATGCAAGAAAGTTAGGTGGGTCAACTTTTCGACATCGAGAGCTTTCCTTCCTGCTCGTATATATATATGATCATACGCGTTATCATTTTTACCGAAAGTCGATCTAAACCCCTAAAACATGTAAAATTACTCTGAACACCTTAGTTTAGGTCCAAATATAGATGTAAGACATTCTCAAGTCCCTGTGCGTATGCAGACTATAAACATGGAACGTTTTACGTTCAGTGTCCCCCACTGACGTCTTTTGACAATCTCTTTATTAGCTTAATCGTCTATGATGAAATGTAACTTCTTATGATAGCAAGATCCCTAGAGGTAATGTAAAACTGGAATGACTAAATATATCAAATAGCTTTTCATATGTTTGTTATAACAGTCTTCTAAGATATACGCGTGATAGCACAAGGAGGGAATTTGAAACATGGTATCTGACTGAGTACGACGTCAAAATGCGCCATTAATGAGAAAAAATATATATTTTGACGTTTTAAAGAAACAAACCGTTTTTGTTTTATTTTTGTTTTCTATACATTGTGACATTGACTTTCCGGGTATCACCCCGAAAAGCATTGTTTCTAGGAGTTCATATCTTATATATACACTTGTATAAAGTTTCGTGGCTACCCAATGGGAAGTAGATTCGCTAGAGCGATACCAAATATATAAGTAAGACACTAAGAGGGCCAGCAGCGCTTACACTTTTGCTAATGAGCTAGTTTCAAACTATTTTTACATTGGAGTTACTTTAAGTTGAACTATGTCAATGACCAGCTCCCAAACTTGACATTTTCACCTCAAATCAATATTTAAGAAAAAGTCATCCACTCCAGGTCACCATAATATACCGAAAAATCATGTCGCTACACTTCACCCCATTGTACATGTCATTTTTTAGTTTTTTCTTTATCAGTCCCGTGACCTTGGAAGCTGATCAAGGTAATTTGAGGAAACTGTATATTACTTAGTTACAACCAGGTCCAATTGATTAAGTTAACCACTGTTTAACGACATGTTTTTAACCTTTAATAATTTTGTCAATATACAAGGTAAAATCTCACATTTTTTAATTTAAATTTGCTCTACTTAATTTGATATCTGAAAGTTTGTTACTAATTCAATGGTTGTGTTTTAAAAATACACCAAAATTAAAATTTGCGCTAATCACTGTTTAGACAACTCGGCCTATCTAGTTGTTTGCCAAATATGTCGGTCTAAACACAGGGTCACGTCACAATCACACATATGCTATAATGATATGGGTGTATGTTCATGTGTGTTGTGACCCGTATCAGTATAGCATATGTGTGATTGTAACGTGACCCTGTTGTCTAAACCCCTGAAACATGTAAAATTACTCTGAACACCTTAGTTTAGGTCGAAATATAGCCGTAACAAATTATCAGGTCCCTGTGCTTTAACAGCCTATGTGTATACATTTGACCCAAAGAAAACCTAAGATGTGCATGTATCATCGTTCTTCATGATATATCAACACATCATGGCTCTTGGCATTGTCCTCCTCTAAATAATGTTGATATTTTGAATAAATTTGACCCTGTGACCTCGAAATAAGGCCAAGCTTTTAGCTTATCCATGAGGTAAAGTTATCGCACTTTTCCGATGTCACTATTGGCCAGACGCCACTGCCGTTTTCCGATGCCACTATTAGCCAGACGCCACTGCCATGGGACTTAGAACCCGTTCTATTTTTTCCCCATGATAGCGAATGCTGACCCTCGACTCTGGCATGTGCTTACAAAAAGACTTTGACCTCAACACATTACTCTGTGTGTTAGAAAAAATGATCGACACTGCAAATCTGCAAAACATACCGAGGTACATTTTTCTATTGTTTGAATTCTTTGAAATGATTTTACACCAATGTGACCTTGAAATTAGTTCAAGGTCAGTTTCATGAAAAACTAGAAAATGCCTGTAGGACATTAATGCCCTCGCTGCCATGTGAAATTAGTTTCAGTGTTTGATAAAATTACAACCACTTTGATCTTGATACCCTCAAGCATGCACACACACAAAGTACTACTCTTAAAATTGATTTTAATATTCATGTTTTTTCTGTATGTTATTACCATCTCCATAACATATTGAATGAAGTTGCTTAGTGTTTAAATTGAATCAGTTGATGATTTTCTATATATAGCAACAGTGACCTTGGAACCCTGAAACACAAGGATGTCAGAGGCATACTCATACTTGACCTTTGTATAAAGTTTGACCAAAATCTGTCAAAGAATGAAGTTGCTAAGTGTTTATATTGAATCCGGGCGGGACAGACATGGGCAACACTATATGCCCCCCCCCCCCCAATTTTATGGAGGGTTGTACTTTTGTATAAAGTTTGACAAAAATCTATCAAAGAATGAAGTTGCTAAGTGTTAACATTGAATCAGGGCGCGATTGGTATTTACATTGAATTGGGATGGGACGAGACCGACATGGGCAACACTATATCCCCCCCCCCCCCCTCATCTTATGGCGGGGGCATACAAATTGTAGTATTCCACCACAGGTACCTACGAAGACGTACTGACCAACGACTCTTGGACTAACAAATGTTAGGAAGATTTTTAAACATTAGACAAATAATTTTATAGTGTATCATTCCAGGTTGCTACTGACAAAATATGACTGTTGGTATTTAAGCAAGAGTCCCAAGGGCCTTAGCGGTCACCTGAGTTATATCATAGGTACTGGTAGCTTTATTTTATTGTTTAGATGTGATGTGGAAATCAGCATGTAAACTAAGTGAAATACAATACTTGTCATGTCATCAATGGATAAGAATTTGAAAATATTGGTAAATGTTCCCTTTGGGGCCTCGCCCTAGCCCCTGGGGATGGGGCAGGAATCCTTATTTTACAAAGTAAAACTCTTATTTACCCAAGATGATTCTGAC